CCAACGAGGTTTGGGCAACGAAGGGTTCGCCCCCAAAGGGTTGGCACAACGGGGTTTTGCCCAAAGGGGTTTGGGCAAACAATTTTTTAGGGGGTCCCTGAAAGCCCCCCCGCCCCCCACCCGCCGACCCGCACCCGCCCCCGCACTCGCACTTGCACTCGCACTCGCACTCGCACTCGCGCTCTGCCCCCCCGCGTACCCGCTGCCCGCGCCCCTTCTCCCCTCACCCTCCGCCCTCCCTTCCCCGCGGCCCAACCCGTCCTTCAAGGCTTCGGCCACTGAGGCTTTGGCCACCGAGGCTTCGGCCAACGAGGCTTCGGCCAACGAAAAAAAAAACCTCACGCCCTCCGCCCGCCCTTGCCTCCGCCCAGCCCTCCGCCCTCCGCTCTCGCCCTCCGCCCCTGCCCTGGCCGGCCTGGGTGGCATCTCCCCATTATCACGCGCCAAGTGGGAGGGAAGTGGACGGGGCCCTGAGCCGACCTAGCCCCAGACGGAACGGGGCGCCCAACACGTGCCCGGATTACTGTGCCTTCCCCGGGTGCAGCCTTTCGGTTCGTGAAGGGTCGGTGCGAGTCGTGCTTTCCTCGATCCCCCGCCCTCCCCCGCCATCTCCGCCGCTTTGGCTCTACAGCCACTACCGGGAGGCGGCGAGGCGAAATCAGACTCGGTCGAGAGACCCCAGATTGGCATCCATGCCTCTCTGGACAGGGTGGCCCGCCACAACGACCCCTGGAATTGCGACTCGCCGCTTTCCTCCCGCTGGTGACGACGTGTTTCCCTTGAGCTAGTACTGGTCGACACGCTGATCCGGCACGGCGCAGCACGACTTCCCGAAAATGATCACGGTTGATCAGAGAGAGGGCAGATTTGGAGAGATCTCGAGTGGAGTACATACACAACCATTCGAACAAAGAAGAGGCGACGGGAGGAACCGGCAGAGGATGCAGTGACGTGACACACACACACACACACACACACACACACACACACACACACACACACACACACACACACACACACACACCGCTCACCCACGCGCACCGGGCCTTGCACTTTAAATGCCGTGGGGCTCCTGTCGTTAGACGTGGAGACGCGAGGGTTGCCCCCCCTTGCCCCACCACCTCGTGTGTGTGGAGAAGTTTACCTTACCTTACCTTACCTTACTCTACATACACACAGAGATAGACCCTCCAATCATCAGAAAACTCCGACCTGATCGGTCGTACTGACTGCCGACAGATCACTCCATAGCCGTAGACAGAAGACAGCAGATACAGGCCGATGTCTGCACGCGGCCGGCCGGGCGAGAGGCTTGACACGATCCGACCCTGCGACCCTGACGCTGCTGCTCTAGCTGTCAGACGTGCACTGCTGACTGCTGAAGCGGCACGGCGGCGGTTTGGTGACACACGTAGCCGTCGTCGGGCAGGGTGCCGTTCTTCCAGTAGGCCGAGATGCGGCGGATGCAGCCCATGATGCCGCTGTCGGGATAGTTCCCCCCTGCCGACGCCGTATGGCCGACGCCCTGCCATGTCATCATCACAGCGTGCGGAAAGGCGTGGCGCATTCGCTTCGTCCACGTGTAGCTCGTCGCGGGGTCGTAAAGATTGCCCACAATGAGTGCGCTCACGTCGCCGCGAAACGCGACGGGGCACGGTGTCGAGAGCTCGCCCCAGGCGAAGATGTTGGCGGTAATCCCCACGAAAGCGCCGACTGCGAGCTCACTTCCTCCGTCGCGGTCTGCTCCTGAAGACGTCACCAAGGTCTGCCACGTGCCCATGGCCTGGGTGACCGTGTAGCGTCCATCATAATCGAGCCCGATCACGGCAGCCTCGTTCATGAAGCCGTTCACTTCCGGACGGCATGCCCACTGGCTCCACGTGGGATTACCCAGCAGTCTTGGATAGGGACACGTCCAATCGGACAGCCCCACCTGCTGCGGGCCGATGCACACACCGTACTCGTACCAGGTTCGCTTGCCGGACCAGGTCGCAACGGCCTCTGTGTAGATTGGCGCTTCCGGATCGATCTTAGGCAGGCGGCAGTAGTGATCGAAGATTTCGGCCGCCTGAGACGTGGCCGTGTCGCCGCCCGCAGCGAGCGGGAAGAGGGCTTGCAGGACTTCGAGCACGGGAGCCCATCCCTTTGGCACGAACCCAGCCTCGATCATTTTCTCCTGGAGGTAGCCACCCAGTAGCCCGGGGGTGAGGAAAAAGGGCTCGCCGCTTCTCGTCGGCGCGCTGATCTTGAGCTCCTTGAAACGCGACAGCACACGAGCGCCGTCGTACTCGCCGAACGAGCCTTCCGCCGCCAACCACGCGCAAAAACTGTTCTGGGCGTACGTTGCCGTCGCACACAGCCTCCCCAGGTAAGCGACAGCCTGCTGCATGGCGCCTGCGTTCGTCGTGCCAAACTCCATTGTGTCGACGTCCGGTGGCATATTGCCATTGAGCACGACTCGCCCAGTGGTGCCCGGGAAGATTGTCGCATAGGTCGAGGCGACCGCAGTGCCGTAGGAAATGCCGTCGATGTGCATGCGTGGCGCGCAGATCGCATTGCGGAAGGCCTCGATGTCGTGTGCGAGCATCGTCGTGCCCACCCACTGCAGAAAATCGTACTCCTTGCCGGTTGGCCCCGTGAGTTGCCACTTGGGCGCCCCCGGACACACGCGCGAGCGTTCGTGCATGCGAACGAAGACGTTCTCGACCTCGCTCGCGTTGAGCGGGTTGATGTTAGCAAACGACTGGCCGGTGAGCGGTGAGCCGTCCGGCATCTTACAGTCGCAGGCGGTAAAGTCGGAAATCTGATACTCACGAGCGAGGCCGTCGGGTGGGAGCTGCATGTCGGACGCCGCGCACTCGAGGCTCGGGTTTGCGTTGGGGCCGATGCCCCGCTGCGAGATGGCCCAGTTGCTGTAGCCATCGAAATTGCCGAGGGAATCTTTGTACATTCTTTGGTACACGCATTCTGCTCCACTTCCGGGCCCACCGCAGTGGTGCAGGAGCGGCTCCCGTGCAGCCTCCTCCGCGGTAGTCGGCCTGGACGCCCAGACCTCGAGCTCAATCATCGGTGTCACTTCCTCGGACTCTGGCGCCGGATCCAAGGGCACGGTCAGAAGGCCTCGCAGCAGAGGCACGGAGCCGGTCACTGTGGCTTCCTCCCACTTGAGGTTTGACTTCGGGTTCAGCAGATCGCAAGGCGGAACCGTTG